TCATATTGAGAAAGAAAATGTCGACGCCCAAAAGTTGGCTATGCAGAGCAACTTTCAATTGTTCGTAACATTTACGTGAATCATCAGACACCGTTGCATTGTCGTAGAGAAAAACTAAAGTCGGACGAACGCTGGCCACCAATGCAAGCAAATTTTCACGTAGAACAGGTGCATCCGAACTGAGAAAGCCTGGCGTGTCATAGACATGCAAACCCAGCTCGAGAGTTGGCGAAGGAATACGAATTTCGATGAGACTCTTTGCCCAATGGACGAATTCATCAGAGTTTCCATCAAAACCTTCTGGTCGTCCCAAATGTTTCTTGATGATTGTTCTGAGAGTCTTAGTACGCGTTTTGGCCGTCTTATTGTCCTTGAAACAATTCGACAAATCAACTTGATCTTCAACCTTCGTGTAATCGACCACCGTGCTATATTTGATGAGACAAGCGTCTTCCGGTGGTGCATAGGAGAATTTGACGATGCGCGCTGTCACGGCACCCTCACCCGCTGGCAAGAAGTCGCCATAGCCGAGAAGTTCATGAATAAATGATGTTTTGCCTGACGAATTGTAGCCACAAACAGCCAGTTGAACTTGTTCAAGCGGTCCAAATTCGTTCAAGATACTTTTCTTTTCTTCGTCGGGAAAAATGTCAGCTACATGTTCAACTGTATCCAAACGATGGTATACGGTGTCTACTTCTTCGAGAAAACGTGCTTGAAGGTCGAGAAATTGTCTCACACAAGTCTGAGTGGATTTTTTGATGGAGTTATTCGATTGAATGATCGATTTGATCTTGTCGATATCGACGGCAAGTGGCTGTGCCATACTCGAGTTGTTGTTACTATAGATAATTATGATGCAAATCTGCAAAAAAAAAGAGAACATGGTGACTTTCGAACTTTTTACAATCATCCTTTACATGACACTACTTTGACTGCAATGCTCTCACTAATGCACATGTTGTCATCATTTCACACCTTTTTATTGATTCTCTTATCAACATTTTGATTGGCCAATGAATCAGTTTATTCCTTTGTAGGGATTTACTAATGATTCACACTTCAAACACATCCAAATCTGATTCAGTGGGAAATAATGACAATTGGACGAAACGTCAACGATTTCGACTCTTCAACCAGTCATCTCAACCGATAGTTTCTTTGTATATCGCCCTGATCATATACAGAGAAATACGAAGAGATAAAGATCACTCTGGTGGCGAGTTCACGATCTGACAGAGATACATCATTAGCCACCTAGTCGCTGATGTCAGCCTGCTTTTCCGGCTTGCTTTTCTAGTTTGCAGTATAACGTCTGCTATTGGTTGCTCAGGACTCCTCGAAGAGTGATTATGTTTATAAAAAGATAAGCGAGAGAATCAAATCCGCGATGTATTGATGAAAAGCAGAGTATATTCATCAGACTCTTCCCTATCCTATTGAACCATCAGATCTATAAATATAAAGTAGTCACATGCCTTATTTTTGTAAAGAGACGATAGTAGAGTAAAATCCTTTTTTCAGATCTATTGTTACATCGTGTTTCGCTCGGACTTTTCTTTGAGAACATGATGTAATCAACCCGCACCATAACTCCTCTCTAAAAGCGTTTCCTGAGGTAGATGGGACCCAATATCAAGGTGTTTTACCGGGTTTTCTCTTCCGGAACCTGATCTAATACATTTCAGAATTAGTTGGAATTTGAGCTCAAATACACAGCAACTTTATTCACACCTCTTAACTCTCTCTCATTCAGGTGCTACACTAACCGACTGAGTCAGGCACAATGAGATCACTAGTAGTATGACTCACTTATTTTACATAATGCATTATATGAATGATGGTGTCATTTGGTGTTTCTATCAGTATCATGACTCATTTATTATACAAAAATGGAAAGAGTTTAAACAAAAGATAAACGTCAAAATAAATAAATATTATGCAAAATAAATTAGCTCTGTTGTTTTGTACTTAAGATTGAAACAATCAGTCACAACAGCAATTGTTTTTCTTTTATACAGAAAATAATGATTCTTCAATATTCCATTTTATTTTTGTTACTTGTCAATTATTGTGTAGCTGATAATCCATGTATCTATTATTTTCCACAAGGTGTAATCAATTTAACAACAATTGGCTTAGTTAATAGTCAACCAAGATTTAAAGATGTTCGAATTATTATTCCATCCGAACAATATAAATATTCTTACAATCCATGTTATTCATTTACAGAAAGAGGATGTCAAAATGTAGCGGCATGTCAGAGTTAGTATTCTAAAATAGATAGTTTTGTAAAAATTACAGATTTTTTCCGACAGAATATTTCTATGGTTCACATTTCTAAACTAGTCAACAATTAGACTGACACTGTTCTTGCTTGTTGTAAATTTTTAGAAAAACAAAAAAATCTTTTTCGAATGTGAGTCAGCGCAAATTAGCACTAGAACGCCCGTCATTTTGACCGTTTTGTGATTTTTATCCTTAATAAAACAAACTGCATACAATTTATTTAAAAATAAATTATGTCATAATTTTGAATTTGTTCCATAAAAATTATTTTTTGCAGATTTTTTAATTCATTTTTTAATTCAGAACCATTTTTAAGTATAAAATTTTTAAAAAAAACAGTAACGGTCAAAATGACCGCTTTGGGCGTTCTAGGTCATGAAAATTTCCGGACGTTCTAGTGTTAAAAAAATGAACTTTTTCAAAAAAATAATCGGATTGTTTTAATGAATGTATTTGTTGACATATTGTGAACTAAATTTCAACTCTTATCATGACACATAATTTTTTCTTTATTGATTCTGTTTAGCGACATTGGATAATAAATATTCGAACACTCTTGAAGATTATACAAGAAGGACATCCAGACTACGAGGCAGCGTACATCGTGCATGAAAGAGATCAGAACGAGCAATGAATATTTATTTTTTTTGAATACTATTGGGTGCAGGAATTTCAAAACTTGAGCACCATTTTTTTTCCGTTGAGTCATGACTGGATAGAGCACATCAAGCTGAGTAAGAATATGTATTTTTTGATATTTCAAAAGACTATTTTAAAATCAAAAATATGAGTAAACTGAGAATGTCCGATTTTTCGAAAAAATTAGTATTTTTCGCTGTGCTCATTTTTCATTTTTCTAACCTTCCAAAATGTTTTGTTTTTTGGATTCAGCCTCAAAAACTAAGTCTAGTAGAAAATAATAGGTTTAAGAATGTTCAAATATAACCAGACCAAACATTTTCAGACCTGGGTTAAATCCCTGCATTGCGCTTGAACATCCGACAAATGTATCAGGTCTGTTTAGGTAAGATATTGAGCCCAAGTTTTTGTTTCATTTTACTCGTCGTCTTGTCAAGAGAACAGTAATTATTGCTGTTTAAAAAATTTTGCTTCGTTGCTGAGGTTTTCCATTTTTACTGAAATTTCTGCAGTTTTGTTCAAAACGACCGAGCTATTATTCAATAAAGTCCTGTTTTCATTTATAATCAATAGAAACAGAGTTTCACAGATAACAAACATCGAGAATCCGATCGAATCACTTTCAAGATCTCTAGAGATTTCCAGACGGCTTTTTAGAAAATCAGATTTCTAGAGAATCTTTTTTGCCGAAAATTTTCTAAAGTACATTGACCTCGATGAAAAAATGAATTTCCTTCAAAATGAAGCCTTTTCGACGATTCTGCGGTTTTTAGATGACCTGAAACACTAATCTAAGCCACCGAAAATGACTGCCAAATTTCAAGTCAAATATCTCGCTTAGGGAACATTAGAGAATTCTCGAAAAGGTTTTACTTTGAACTAGAAATTTATTTCTCCTGTGAAAATATAAAAAACGTCCGCCCTTCTTTCAGACAAAATAATACGTCAGCAAGCTGATGTAATTTTTTATGCTGATTAAGAATATCGTATTGAAAAAGCGAAAAATTAATTGAAGTCCAAGAAATCCAATTTCTATGAGAATTTCTGAAGCATATTGTTCAATAAAATCGTATTTTAGATACTTTGACTTGTTGAGCAGGCACTAAAAGCTTTTTAACGGATTTTTGAATAGTAGTTTGAAAGTGAATATCTGTTTTCTGCTTTCATCTCTTTTGATTATAGTTAAATATCCGTAAATATAGGTCAGTTCCCAACATGATTTATCTATAGACCTTACCCTAAACTTCGTACTTCACTCCAGTTGACGAATTGACGTTGGATGATATCAACTTTATAATAAATGCCCCTTTTTTCTCGGATTTTGATCATGTGATTCTCAATCAACCAAACAGAATCTTTATTTTCCATTTCCGATCACTCAACTTTCAAGATTTAACATGATCAATTAGGATCATGTTAAAATACTGTGGTAGATTTCAACGAAATTTATCGACAAACGTTGAGGAAAAATTTTGTATTATAATAACGCTGATCGAATGATGGTCTAAAAAAATAAGCACTGTTGTTATCACAACAAAATATGTATTCTCGAAAATGGACATTGTTTTTTTGCATTGTCCATTCATCTAGAGAGACAGAGAAGTAAAACTCTTGCGTTCTTCAGGACATACTTCTTTTAGAGCTCTTTGGTGTTCAAAGTCAAGTAGTGTGGACACCATCATCCTTTGATAGTTTACCATCGATCGATTATCAATATGGAACAAAAGTTTTACGTGTCTTTTTACAATGTTCTAACGGATCAGATTCATTAGCTTTGCTCGGTGAAAAATATACAAATACTTATTTCATGCAATTATCAAGTAAATGTGCATGTTATGATGGATGTAAAACAACTCCAACAACGACAAGCACCAAAGTTATAACATCACTATCGCCTTCATCACCCGCACCAATTACACATTCTTGTTTTTATACCGACTCTCAAAGAGGTACAATTAATATAACATCCATCGGTAACATATACCATTATCCAGCATTTAAAGATTATCAATCAACAACATTCAGTAATTATCGATGGTCATACAATCCTTGTTTTTCATTTAATGAATATAATTGTACAAATGCTGCTGCTTGCCAAAGTACGTTTTTCGACATTAATTAATGGAAAAGCTGCTCAATAATGACTTTTTGTTATTTTAGTTAATCCTGTTTCTCTTTCTGGCTCTGTTATTGCTGAACAACAAACAGCTGAATGGTATAACACAGATACCGATCATCCGGTAATTTTATATACAACACATAAAGGTATGAGTACACAGAAAATGTTGGTTGTTGAACTTGAATGTAACAATGATGTGAACGCACCCCATCAACTAGAAGTTATTGGTCAGACATCTCCAACTGTATACAAAATGAAACTAAATTCACATTGTGCTTAGAGATAATTGAACAAGGACGTCCCGAATTTATGGATGATAAGGTCAAATAGAACTCAAATATTCAGAGAAAAACATTTTTAATCATCAAGTTAATATATTCTTTTATATTTACTTGTTTTGAATATTACTTGTGGTCTCATTAGATTAATATGAAGTGCATTTCTGACCTTTGACAGAATGCATATTCTCTTTTTCTTAGACGACTTTTGAGCGAAGTGTTTCTTTTTTTGTCATGAAATTTCTCTTATAGTAATATTGCTGTAAGTCTTATATTTTTATTGTTCTGTACTTCTACAGTTACTGTTATTGTTTGCTCTGTGACTCCTGAAAAGTTTCTTGAGTTTGATTTTACTCCATGAATAAAAACGACAAATCATTACAAATTTCTTTTCTATCATTTCCTAAAATTTCCATATAGGACAGAATACAACTGTGCATTACTGCCAGAAGTTGAATTAATCTGTTTATGCCCGTTGTATCCTTAAAGATATACCTGTTAAGTGCTGACTATCTAAATAACTAGACTTTGAGCAGCAATGGTTCGCGTATCATTTCACAGGTTACATAATTGTTAATTGTCTTATTTATTGTCCAAAGCTTGGGATATTATAATTTATCAAAAGCTATTATTGAAAGGTCTTGCCCTACTATAGTGAACTCACAACTGATGACTACTGTCAACACTTTCAACTAGTTAAGAATCAGGGTTCTGTATGGGCCGGACTAAGTCAATAGTCCAGTCCAGTCCACTTGAGCTGGAAAACGTTTTGAGCTCATGGACTCTGACTGGACTTAAACTTTCAAGACCATGGACCGATTTAAACTCGAAAAAAGTTTTGGATCCACTTGAATCGAGAAATAATCAATAAAAAACATGTTGTTTATGTATTGTGGAGTGGAATGGACTACTTTTCTACAGCCCATGGGCTGAAAAAAACTGTTTTTCATGGACTCAGACTGGACGAGATTCTTTAGTCCATGGACTGAACTGCACTCAGAATTCTGAGTCCATTCGGAGCTCTGTTAAATACAAAATATTTTAATTTTAATTGATAGAAAAAACTTGGACATAAACTGGTTAAGCTACTTCGTGTTTTGAAGAGCTGATACTCAGAGCAAGTTGTTTCAACTTGCGATGCTGAACTTTTCTGCAGGACAAAATCCTATGCTCATCTGAAGCTCTCTAAAAAAAGAGAGGAAAAACCGGCTTTTTTACGCAGTATAGCGCAAAAATTGTTCTTTTTTAGCCTTGTTTTTCAACTTATCGAAGGCCTTTAATCAATATCGCTGCGTATATGTGTTAGACACGACACACTCCAACTTCAGTTCAACAGACCTTCGATAAGTTGAAAAACACAGCAAAAAAAGAGCAATTTTTGCACTATACTGCGTAAAAAAGCCGGTTTTTCCTCTCTTTTTCTAAGTTTTTGACGTAGAAAACTCGCTCAGAACCTCTCATGAAACTTTGAAAAGTAGTTTTCTGTAGGTTTCGCGACGTACTCTATCAATTGGACAGATAAAAAAATTTTTTTAGCGCAAATGGTTTTTCGGCTTGAAAACCAAGATCTTCAAAAAACGGGACTTTAAAGTCAAAATTAGCCCAAACCATCATGAAATTCGGAATCAGCATGCTCGATTACCCTCGATCAACTGAGTCTTAGCTCAAAAGCGAGGGAACACTTGGTGGTCTTCCCTCGTCAGATAAGACAATCTGCGAATGAAGTAGGAGCAACCCCCAATTTGATGCACGCAAGCCTTTTATTACTGATCCTTCAAAATTATACATCTGCTAAAAATAATGACTATACATGTTGTAATTGTATGGTGGAAAAGGGAAGAACGTTTTTTTGACTCTCTCTTCGGATAGAGGAGAGATAGTCAAAAAAATCTCGCATTTTGTCTGACGACATTTTTTGTACAACTCATTGTTGGGATGGTTGTGTCACACCATCATCGTCAACATCTGATTTCCCATTATTAGTAGTAATTACAGCCGGGGTTGCAGGTATTTTTGCAATACTTTTCATTATATTTATTAGTTTTCTATTTTGGACAAGACCGTCGTTTATTTTTAAACGACGACAACATGGAATTATAAATGAAAAAACACCAATTATGACTAATTATGGCACTAAAAAATAAATATTTTAAAACAAACTTCTTTAGGCCTCTCTATCAGCTAGTGATACGTTTTTGTAAATTATTCTGTAAACTTGAACATAATAAACAAACAAATTTCTTCTAGGCAATCTATTTTAATACAAATTCGAATTTGAATTGTTTGAAAAACATATACAAAAGATGTAGTTTTCGTTCAGTTTCTACACCAAATTTCAAATACAAGACTAATCATTTATTTTTTAATTTTAACTTTTGTATCCACTGAGGAAGACTGAACTATCAATCGAAACGTTTGGAATAAATAAAATTAGTACGAAGAAAAAGTACTCATTAAAATTTAAAAATCTGATCTAACTTCGTTTTCATATCAACTTCTCAAAAATGACTAATCATTTAACCTGGACCACCGATTATGTATATAACACGCAGAACATATCTATATCTACATAAATTTCTTCGGTTCTTGAACTGATGTCATAGTTCTAGGCTCTTCAGCAAACAACTTTCATCTATTCATTTCTGTACTTGTGTGATAGTAGCAGAAATAATTTTACTTTCCTCAATGTTTACTCTTCTCTCTATTCTGCTTTGATTAACCCTTTACACCCCCTTGGGTCATTTTTGGCCCATTCGTAGAAAGTTTGCAGAAAATAAAGAAAGCATGAGATTCAAAAACTCCCAAGACAATATTTCTAGGGAACTCCATAAGCTATCGACGATTGGTAGAAAAAAATATTTTATTTCGTTGTTCTGCCTTTGAGATACATGGTTTGCAAAATTGATAATTTTGAAAAAATTTTAAAAAACGAAATTTTAAAAACAAAATGTTTTTTCACTCACAGGCAGTAGAGATTTCGGGGTGCGTTGTTTGATCTATATCGACGAAAATGTCTACTATTGAACTAAATTCGTTTCAAAAATTTCACAATAGCTTGGGAGATAAGGAATGGTAAGACACAACATGGATCCTGGAACGACTATTGAACAGGAAGAGGAGGATGACGCATATTATTAATATATTATTTGTAAATCTTATCAGAGTAGTAGTCGAAAAAAATATTTATCATTGATTAAATGTTTCCATTAATGATATAATTACTTAAAGAAAAATGTGTATGTTTAAAAAATCTGTGTCAAAAATACATGTGGTATTTAAAAATTGCTTTTTATATACGTAGCTTTTCTTTTTTGATTTTAGTCAAATAAAAAGGAATAGATGGCACCTTTGCCTAATTAACACTGTCATAAAAAAGAAAAGAAGTAGGGCTTTTGAAGTCGTTCCATCCCGTTCTCTGCCTCAATGATCACTGTAGTTATCAAATTACCCTGCACAAAAGGTAGTGCGCCTGATCGATCTGCCCATACCATTGGCATATTGTAGAGGCCAATACTCTATTTCTTCGGTGTTTTTATCAGTGGCTCTTCTGGAACCGCTATGGGGTGTAAAGGGTTAACAACAGTTAACTTTTATCGGAGAACAGGGCGTTTTGACTAACGAGGGAACCTATGGAAGTCTCCCTCAATTTTTCTTCAAACATAAAAGGTGGACCAGAAGTCCTGACTCGATTTGAATAATAAATTTTTCTATAGTGAAACAAGTGGTTGTAAATTTGTCTCTATGAAGAAAAGATGCAGTAAAAAACGCTCTACAAAATGACGATTGATTGACCCCGTT